CCACAGAGCTTAGACCAATTTTTAAATTCTTATGAAAATCCAAAAATTTAAAATAGTTGACAATGTCGCCAAAGAGCCACTCTACCGATTTACGCACAGCACGCATGGAGAAATTGAAGGCTTGCAAGGCAGGAGTTCGAACAGTGTTCTTGAAGGGAACTTGCAGGTGGATGCGAAGAGGATAAGCAGGGTCACCGTAAAGGCACATGGGTTGACCAGTGGAAGAAAATGCAAAGCGCTGTAGATCATTAAGTAGTCCGGAATCTGCCAACACACTAACATCGTGTTTTCTTCCTTCTGCAATAAAATTGAAAACCAAAACGGCAAATTCATAGTCAGAACCCAAAATTACAAACATGAAGGGTTTTGAACACTTAGCAACAATTTTATTTGAGGTATATTCTGAACCACAGACTTACCTACAGGCCCGTACATATTTGCAATCATACCATTAGGCAAGGTAAATGATTGAAATTTTAGTGCGTGAACCCGCTTGTGACCATTGTAGACGACTCTTTGTAATTCCCCGGGACGACAGATGGGTCTCACAGTTCCATCTATGAAACCTATACAGTTATCCAGTGCTGCACCTTTGTTATGGATAGCTTCAGCATGCCTCTCCAGACCCACAGGATCTAGAATTGTATTGTTCCACTGGCTTATTCTATAACCATGTGTGTTGTAAATGTGATCCAAAACAATGTTGTAAATCATGCTCAGCTCTGGTATTGGTCGCCCGAAACGAGGTATCAAGTCAGAGTAGCGACAAGGGTAAGTCAGTCGCCTTAACAGCAAACAAAGTCCTTCTATTCCAGGAGCTGTTGTGCCTTGGTGGCAAAAAAATGTTTCAGGAATATCCAATGATTCTGCTAGTCGGGAAATTTCATTTTTTCTGAAGCGAAATTCAGCTTTGCATTCCGTATCATCCATCGCATCTAAGTCGAACATTTCGTACTCTGCGTATGGAAACTCTGGATTCTTCGAAAAGTTTCCTTCATACAACAAAACAAATTTATCATCATCGATTATACCATCGTTATAGCTTTCCAAGAGAAGATTCCAAGCGTCTTTAAAGGATGTTATTGCTATTATAAAGCGAACTAGACCCTGTGAGCAGGGTAACTGGGATACCTGGATGGTTCTGGATCCTTGGAATCAAGTGTAGTGATACTACGGGTATCGGACTAGTATACTGAAATAGTGCGCTCAAGTCTGGCCAAGGGCATACACCTATTTCAAAACATAGGCATGCTATGCATGAAAGAGTTACTTTTTTGTAGGGTGGGTGGATTACTTGAAACATTGTGAGTGATGTCTACATTCTTACAAAAGGAGAGAAGAATATTAATGTGGGAAAGAACGAAAATGTCGAATTACCTCACTCACAGGTATTTTGTGGTAGATTACGTGTGTTTTGCGAATAAATTATAACCAAAAATAAACTGTATTGGTGCCACGGATACCTGTTACTACAAAATGCAGACAGCAGACTGCAGACCGGATACAAAATATAGACTGCAGACTGCAGAGTGGGTACAAAATGCAGACTAAGAATCTGAAGAGTTTTTACGTCTGGTATATAATAACATGTCATCTTATAGCTTACCGAGCGTCATGCAATCGCTTTTCTGCGATCCGCCTTCACGATTATTTGCACTATTGTGGAATATTCCTGGCCCATTTCTTGATGAAAATCGATCGCAATATTATTTCAAGCCTTCAATATAGTCTTCTTAATTTGTGCGCGAGTTGGTTGGTATGAGCCTGTACAGATTTTACCAACGTAATTAAAGTAGA